CCCGGTGCCCCTGGTCTGCTGGAGATGGTCCCCAGCAGACCAGGGGCACCGGGAGCAGCTTTTCTCGCCCCGGAGCTTGAGGTGGCTGACCGCTGCCTGTGAGCTCCGGGGCGAGAAAGCCCCGTTCGTAAGTGCGGATCTGACATAAGTCGGATCCGCGTAAGTCGGGGACTGCCTGTAGTTGGACTTCAGATAATGGTATAATTCCTGTTGTCTAACAGGCATTCACTATACCCATTAATACCAAGAGTTGTGTGTTACAGGTTTAGGAATGTATGAAACACCACTCTTCCTTGCCCATGAAGAAGAATCTGGTGGCCGCAGTGTTCCAACAACTCCACTGCAAGTCGCAGCACCAGGTGAGAATCAGTATGGCAGAATGTAATGAGAATATTAGAAGCTTTGATTCGCAACATAATGGAGAATATTAGTTGTGTGTGTTTTAGTTGCTGTGGTGAAAATATTACTGTAGCCTGAATTCTCCTAGGCTATGTCTAGACTGCAGGCTTCTTTCGAAAGAGGCTCTTTCGAAAGCATCTTTCGAAAGAGCCTCTTTCAAAAGATCGCGTCTAGACTGCAGGCGGATCTTTCGAAAGAGAAATCCGCTTTTTCGAAAGAGAGCACCCAGCGAGTCTAGATGCTCTCTTTCGAAGACGGCCTCTTTACATTGAAGAACGCCTTCTTTCGAAAGAGGAACTTTCGAAAGAAGGCGTTCTTCCTCGTGAAACGAGGTTTACCACCATCGAAAGAAAAGCCGCGTTCTTTCTAAATAATTTCGAAAGAACGCGGCTTGAGTCTGGACGCAGGGGAAGTTTTTTCGGGAAAAGGCTACTTTTCCCAAAAAAAACCCTGAGTCTGGACACGGCCCTAGTATCCAATATTTTGGGTGTCTTAACTGCTTTTCCTGATTTTTGTTTTTCTAAAGTGACTGTTTTTACTGAAAGTACCACAGCTGATCCTTCAGAGCATGCCTCTCAGTCTGTTCCAATGGTTACAACATCCACTGGAAGTTTATCCACGACTACTGAATCCGGAGTGGGTGATGATGGGGATGAGGTTTTTGTGGAGGCAGAATCTGAAGGGTAAGGTATACTATTCAGTGGATTAAGACTTAATTCTGTATTTGAGATTTAATTTGACATACTTTCATTGCATTTCATCATTTGAGAGTGTCTGTTAAATCTTAGCTCTGTTTGGTTTCTCTATATTAGAACATTGTTCTTCTTGAAAACCATCTCAGTGTGGCTACAGAGAGAATGAACCCATCTGAACTAAAAACAACTTTGTAGTGGAAGATGTTCACAAGCTAATTCACTTGCAGTGGAAAAGTGGAATTTAGACTTTGAATCAAAGTATTTTTCAACATCTGGTACTGATAGTAGGATTTAGAACTTGTAGATGTCACAAAATGACCACTGTTCAGTGTCAATTTCCTTTTTTCCCCTGAACATCTTAATTTGCGGCTTGCAGAAATAACAAAAACAAAATGTAAATTTTTGTAAAGAATATAAGCCAGTGATGAAGCCACTGGGGCTCCACCCGCGAACTCCCTGGCAATCTTTCTACTGCACAAGCTACTTGTGATTTGAATGCTCCAAAAGTGCTAGGAGGGAGAGGACTATTAGGAAATGTGGGGCTCTGGTGCCCCAGTGCGCGAGAGGCACACGGGTGAGGGATTAGCCAAGGGCCATTGGGTTGCAGCCCACTGAGGTGAAGGAAGGCCACTCATGTGACTCACTCACTATTTGTGGTTGCCCATCTGTGATATACACCCTTTCTAGGTACCATGGGTCTGAGTGAGTTTGGTCCATTTTTCTTGATAAATGGATTAATGCAGTGATCTTGAAAGTGGTCTGCTGAGCATTTCAGATTAGGGATGTAAAATCCCGTTTAATCCATTAACTGGTTAAATTTTAACGAATGAACCGCTTAAATGGGAGCGGGTGGGAGTTGTTCTGGCAGGCTGAAGCACCCCTCAGCCTGTGCCACTGGTTAACTGTAACCGGAAAACATCAGTCAGTAAGGTTGATGCTTACCGGTTGACAGCTTAACCAATCACATCCCTTCTTCAGGTAATTTATGCAACTGTTACTGTAACAATGAAGCATCCTTCAGGAATTATTCATTGATAGATTGATCAGACTCCATAGTCCATATTTTTATTGTCCTTACCCGCAGTCATCTGTAATTTGAGGAGCAGAATTAGTGTGTATGTTCTTCCATGGGACATGGTTCACTAAAAAGTACCCCCAAAGAAACTTCATTTTTCTGGTCTTATCTGAAAGGCAGTGAATGAGTAGATAAGTGCAAGAGTAGATTTTTTTTTTTTTTTTTTTTTTACCTTTATTTAAAAAAAAAATCTCTGATTTCTGATACCCTTCACTTTTTTCTGTCTGGTTATGTGTGAAAATACCTATGGTAAAAAAGAATCCATTTCCTTGTTAAATTATATTTGCACTCAGGGTATTTTCTATTTCTCGTTAGGTTTCTGACCATTGTTTAACACCTGAACTTTTATGTTCCAGAATTACTTCAGAAGCTGGTCTAGAGATTGATAGCCAGCAAGAAGAAGAATCTGTTCAAGCGCCTGATGAATCAGACCTTCCTTCCACCAGTCAGGATCCTCCTTCTAGTTCATCAGCAGGTATGGGCTTCATTCCAAACACAGATGTTTTATACGATGCTTACATATCAAGACTTTTCCCAGTGCGGAATACATTGTTGGCAAAGGAGACCAGACTAAGACCAAAGTTCCGTCTAAGCCACGCAACTGCGTGTCTGCATAACTATTTCTGAGTCCCACTCAGAGGTTCAAAGCTCCCCACAGAGGCAGAGAGCTCAGCTGACCGGCAGGTGAAGAGTGGCAGTAAACAGGAGCTAAGTGCTGCCTCTGAACTTAATGATTTTTTAAAATTCTGTGTTACGATTTACCATGTAATAATAAGTATTGCATTAAGGCCAGTTTTTTGCTATATGATAGAGTTCTGGCTCTTATGCGTCAGAAGTAGCAAGTACTAGGTGTGATGCTAGTTTTGTAGGATGAAACCATATTTGCAAGCTCTTTGAAACATGCATCTGTCTACAAACCCTGAAGCCACGTGTTAATTCTTCTGGGGCTTTTACTCTTCCTTGAGTGGAAGAAGACTAATTTCCTACCTTTGTACAGCACCTTTGTAGTCACTAAAGGTACCTCACAGCAACCACACACAGTGTCTTGTTTTAATATATTTTCTTCCACACTCATAGACTGCTGCTTAAAATATGTTTAGATGTATACCTATATTGATATAAAGAGACACTCTGTGCTAGTAACTAGCAAGTCCTTCAGCACACTTGCAGCTTGGGAAGAACCTGTTTCATAAGGCGACGCCTGCTCTTCACAAAGGGATTTTTTTTTAAGTCTGCTTATGAATGAGTATATATGGTGTATGTATCTCTCTCTCTTTGTGTGGGTGGGGGTGGGTGGGTGTGTGTTTTGTTTGTTTGTACACCTCCATGCACTACTTCAATATTGGTGTTGCACATAAGAAATTTCAACCCGTTCAAAGGGATGTGATGTAAGCAGTGCAGAAGTAAAGGGCAAGATAGTAATCAGAGGCACTAGTAAGGTAACTCAGACATCAACTAGAGCAAGCTGTATTAAAATAAACACTTTAATAAGGTTTTAATTTTGCATTGTCTTTACATTTCTATGTATTCGTTGGAGTTTGACATGAAAACATTATAAAGAATACAAATGGAAAGTTACTTTCCTTTTGTATTAGTTGTCAAAATACAGTTACACAATCGTTCATCCGGCTGATGGGGAGGGGGGAGAGACAAAGAAAAACAAACACACTTATTCAGTTTGAGGTTTTATTATTACTTGAGAAGTACATGTTGAACCTTCACAATTTTATTAAAATATGAAAGACAAGCATTGCTGTATGTTAAACTTAAGCAATGGACTCACTAACAATTACAATCGTACTGCAATAATAATCTTATACATTCTGGGTTTTTTTTCCCTCTACAGACACAAGCAGTAATCAACCAAAGCCTTTCCGGCGTGTCAGACTTCAGCCACCAACATTAAGAACTGGTGTCCGTGGTCGTCAGTTTAACAGGCAGAGGGGTAAGTGACTGTCAGTGCTACAATTATGACTCTACGTGTATGTACTTTTTCAAATGACCTCTTAACAATTTTCTTAACCTTTTTAAAACTGGAAATGTATAGTGCACCCGTATGTATACGTGATGATACAGTAAATAATGTAGGGTCTCTGCTCCACAGATATCTATATATATTACTGTATCTAAAACATTTAATTTGGCTGGTAGGTAAAAAGACTTACTTCTTATGTAGCTTATGGCTCTTACAAGAAGATGTATACATTTAAAATTTTTTTTACAATTCTGATATTTAAGATTATTCCTAACACAATTTTCCTATTTTAAATGTAAGATTTTTGTGGAGATGAAGCCTGGAATCATTGCTGCTTTTTAAGAAAATTAAATGATTGAAATTACAGAATCTTAATATATTAATATTCTCTAGATAGTACTTGTTATAGTGATTTTATCTATAACATCCCCCACATAAAAAACCTCCCCAGATTAAAATTTATTCTTCAATATAAATATTAAATAATCTGTGTATACTGGTGCTCGCACTGATATTTCTGTTAACATTCAGATTATGTGGATTTAACCATAAAAATGCTGAACTGGAAGGGATTTCCATGGAGTCCCAACTATTGTGTCTCAATCAACCAATAGGGAGGCTGTTGAGAAAGGAAGGTAACAGTCTCCACCCATAGTTGAGCATGCTGTAATTGTGGCTCTTCTGGCCCCTGGAATAACAGTCCATTGATGTGTTAGGCCATCACAGAGAAACCAAGATTGGTAGCGGAATACTCCATTGCACACTTACCTCATTACTAAATGAAGTAGCAACTAATAATGTTTGATTATTGGAGCAGGAACAAGTACTTACATTTGC